TTGAGTGACTGGAATAAGTGTATGTGCATCAGTGTTTTCTGTATCTTTATTTTTTTCCAGTTATTTTCCCTTGTTTATTTAAAGAACAATACAAAGTCTTACGCCGTGATCATATTAATGATTATTATCTGTGTTCCGTCAATTTAATCTGGACGAGTTAATTGTGAAATTTTCAAATTGTCATATCACTTCTTGTCGTTCCCATTTCTCCGCACTCTCTTAATTCCGACAGATGCCATCCCGTATAGACAGAATACAGTACAATAAAACATAGTTCAGACATCGTTAGCAATAATGTTTGAAGCGACAGCAACCTGTTGGAAAAATACTAAGAACAAATTTACCTTATTGTTAGCCTATAAAAGTGGATACGAGTTCTTATTTTAGACAAGTCTAATGTTTGGATTGTCATCCGACCGACTGTGAGTGATCTTTGGCTTTTAATATGATTTCCTTTAACCGGACCCCCCCCCCCCTTAGTGCCTGTCCTGTGTTGGCATAATGTCATCATTGAATAAAATTTTGCCATTCCGAGTTTCCCGGATAGTGTATCATCATTCTCTGTCGTGATGTTCTACCAACGGTTAAGCAGAATAGGATTCATAACCTATTCTCTTGTGCGGATCCGACAATCGCACGATCGATCGGGTTCATTTATTCATCGGTCGGATTGTTCAAGTGTGACAGGGGAAGTGATGCTTGTCCGGTTAAACAGAGCGAGAACCCACAACTTGTCCGCAGCCGCCAGTCATTAGCATGCCCAGTGAACTTCGACTGTGCGCAGCAAGAGTACCATCACTAGGCTGGAGTACAAATGACAACAAGATCATCACAAACGTTACAAGTTGGTGATCACACAGTCGCGTGTCAGGTTGAGGAATTCCAAATTCACCGAAATGGACCCAATCAGATCGCTTAGAGATTCAGAGGGACAAAATGTTGTGGAACGATGAAGCAATCGTACTGTGGAATCAACATGGTGGGTGTTGGTGACCGAGCGGTGACCATATAATCGCTCTGGAGAATCTGTGTTCGAATCCCACTACCATCTCCTGACTCTNCTCTCCATTCCTTGTGTATTATACGGAAGCGGTTTGATTGGTTTCTTGTGTCTTCCTAAAAATCCCTTCTTTACATAATCAAGATAAACAAGTCAACAGTGTAATAATAATAAGGTTGACCCACGGAGCCGCCACTCAGATTGACTTTGGCACCAACTGTGTTCCTAGAGCTCAGCGAAAAGGAACAAAATTACCTAACGTGTGATTCAGGTTCCCGATTGTTGGTGGTATCATGTGAACATCACTTTGAAACTTTGACAATTCATAAGCAGTTGAAGAAAGCGTGCAGCGCTATAAAAAAGAAGGTAAAAAGAGAATGACCGCATTCAAAACCAAGTCAAGCACAAGTTTCATTATATGTGGTTCTTGTGATGTAATTGTAATAGGCACTGATTACGAAATACAAATAACAAATTAGAATTCACGGACGCAACGTAAGCACTGGAGCACGTTGGTACTTCCACGAAACCGAGACGCGAGGAAAAGGCCTCAGGAGTAGTAGTTCGTTTATTGAAATAAATCAGGAGGAATAATTAATATGTACAGAACAAACTCATTGGTCATCCAGGCATCTGCCAATCACGTTCTAATATTTCTTTGCCGCACGGCTTCTGATTGGTTGGTACAATCCACCTATGGTCTGTAGTGCAGCAACTATGGCACGCACGCGCTTTGTTGACGTCACCCATGAAGCTTGCTTGTTCACAGTTGTCCGAAAACGTGTCACTCCGTGGTATGCGTCATCCGGTAGGTTTGGAACATCACAATTCATTTTCAAACGCTCAGCTGGAGGATGCACGATTAATGGCATTGGCTTATATAAAACAATTTATACCAGAATGTGGAGATAGGCGCCTCTCTTGTATCTGCTGTTGTCCTCTTGCGTTGTGGGTGATGCATGGATCGGTAGTTTTGCAGCTTGATTATCATAGTGTCGTTATTATGGTTAGTTTTAGATCATTTGGGGAAACGCCTTGAAATCACTTACGATTCACTTATAAACAAGAACCGATAACACGGAGGATTCGTTTGAGAAAATGAAAGCTGTTTCGAAAGTGCCTACTGCTAGCCCGAGGATGGAATTAATTTTCTCAGCGATCAGAAATCGAATTGGAATGAAGTAATTTTTCGCTGATCGAACTAATAACGACACTTCCTCCACCAATGAGAGTTTGTGACCAGTAATGCCAATAATTTGCACATTAGTTTGATGAACTTGTGCTTCCGGATAGATAGGTTGCAGTACTTCAGTTGAAATGATGGATTCCGTACTTCCGGTATCCACAATGAAATTATGCTTCGTGCCCGACTGGGATATCACATCTTGGTATATGTACTGGGCACGTTGACTTTGGGTTCGTAGGGAAAGCACAGGGCTGGTTTCCCCGTCGACCGATGCCTGTGCGAGATTGCAATGGGGCTGTTTACACACTCTCCGAATATGGCCAGTTTTCCCGCATGCATGACACCTGGCATTTCGGAAGTGGCAATTGGAGCGCAAGTGGTAAGCTCCACATGACAGACAGGGGTTGCTACGTTTATCATTGCCAGAAGGGTCGTGCTGCGGCTTCGGTGTATGCTTGGCCACCGGAGGTCGGTTCGGTCGTGTCTTCTGCCGTTGAAATAGAGTGACTGCATCGCTGGAAGTCGCTTTTGTCAGGTCATCATGTTCACAAATTTTTCGTGCCTCTGCAAAAGATCCTTCGTCTCCAGTAACTTCCGTTGAAGTGTCAGATTGTTTACGCCTACTACTAGTCAGTCGCAGAGTTGTCCTTCCAACCGATCACGATGCGCGATGCTTGCTTGTTTAGCCTCAGAATGAAGTCATTGTGGGAAACATGCTCGGCACAAATCAGCAAGAAAGAAATTAAGGGGATTAAATTATATGTGCAAAACAAACTCACTGGTCATCCGGGTCTCTGCCAATCGCGTTCTAGTATTTCTGCCGTTGTTCTCCTCCTGTTTGGGCCGAGATCAATCAAAAGTGCTGTTCATTCGGTTGCATGACCGTTTGAGCTATGATGGATGTTCTGTTGATTCTATATATGTATATAAGGCTTCCTCAGCATTCGCTTTTTGAAGCGCTCGGCCATAAATGAG